CCTGTATGTTTCAACACGATCACTACTCATTCTTCTAAACTACAGTGAGTACAGCCCAACCTGCTTAGCTTTTTCTCACAAGACAATTTCTCCATACCAGAGATCATCCTAGTGAACCTTCTCCAAACTGTCTCCCATAAACTGATATCTTTCTTTGAATAAGATGTCCACAACTGCACACAGTACTTGATGTGGTCACACCATCTTGTACAGTTGCAGTAAGGTTTTCCTACTGTTATACTCCACCCTGCTTTGAAATAAGGGCCAACATTCAATTAGCCTTCCTGATTACCTGCTGCACCTTTGTGCTAGCTTTTTCTGCCTTGTGCACAAGTAATCCCATGTCCCTTGTATTGCAGCTTTCTGCATTTTCTCTCCACTTAAATAGTATTCTGTTTGTTTTCAAGAAAACAAAACTGCAGATGCTGAAAATGTGAAACCAAAACAGAAATAGCTGGAGAAACTGTGCAGGTCAGCAGCACCTGTGGAGAGAAAGCTGTTCATGTTTCAGGTTCAGTGACCCTTCTTTAGAACTCCTGAACTTCAGAACAGATCACTGAATCTGAAAAATTTGACTCTGCTTTCTTTTCACAGGTGCTGCCAGATCTGCTCAGTTCTTCCATCAGTTTCTGTTTTAGATTCTGTTCTTTTGCTCTTCCTTTCAAAAGGAAAACTTTGCATTTTCCCCAAGTTTACATTCCATTTGTCAACCTTTTGCTCACTTACGTAAACTGTCAAAATGTCTGTAAAATACTTGTATGTTCTTTTAACCTGCCTTTCCACCTATTTTAGTGTTGACTGCAAATTTGGCTACAGTAGATTTACTCCCTCCTTCCCTGTGGAACCCCACTGGTCATGGCCAACTTGAGAATTATCTCCAGTCGCTTTCTCCTGCCCTTGTACCAATTCTCTAGCCACTACCTCCAACAATGTGAGCGATTATGACTTAACCTTTTGTATGAGGTATTTTTTTTTTGAATGCCTTCTGGAAGTCCAAATGCAACACTTCTACTGGTTCCCCTCTATCTGACTCTGGTTCAGACTTCCTTGAAAAGGTCTAACAGATTAGTCAGGCACTGTTTTGCTTTTATTAAGCCAGACTAACTCTGCTTGATTAGATTGTTTTTTTTTCTAAATGTTTTGCTGTTACTTCCTTTAATTGATTTCCAATACTTTTCCAATGATAAATGTTTGGCTATTTGGCCTGTGGTGGCCTGCTTTTTGCCTCCCTCCCTTTTTGAATAGGGGTGTTACATTGGCACAGATAAGATCCTGAACCCAGTCACCAAACAGGCAGCACAGTTTTTTTTGGGATTCTCAATCCTCCCCATAGAGAGCTTCGTCTGTTCCCCTGACTACACCATCCCTAATTACAACTACATGTTGGTGTTGGTGTTGTTAATAATTCCCTATACCATGGTGTCATGGTCAGTTTGCTTATCCTCTTTACAGCACCCATTCTCACCCACCATAGGGAGCAAGAATCTCAAACCTGTTAGACAAGCTCAAGAGCTGAGGTTCACCTCTTGGATCCCTTTTACCTGACTCGCTCATAGTCACATGCTCCTGTTCCTGAGCACTGACCAAATTTGAGGTAGTTAATCTAAGGGGTGTGACTGCCACCTGAAACACAGTGCCCAAGTAACCCTTTTTTTTTCCCATCTCTAATGTGTCACAGTGTTTGAAGTTCAGACTCTAGCTCATGAAGTCTGAGCTGGAGTTCCCCCAGGAAACCAATACTTGCTACAAATAGTGACCACAGTGGGGTCCACATTGTGCAGGTACAACATGTCACCTGGCTCTGTATCTCTTCTTTTAAACTTATTTCTTAATTGTTTTTTTTTTAAATATTCCAAATGTTTTTGTTGGTTTGTAATCTGTAAATATTTTAACTATTTACCTTCAACCTGAAAGTAACCTATAACAGTCAAATTAGCAACTACTTGTGGTTTTCCTGTGATGCCACTTTTTGTGCTGGGCTACAGCTTATTCTGCTTAGAAAAATACCTTAACATGACCTAAAAAAGCAAGCAAAAACACCTTTTTTCCTCCTGAACACTGAATTCCCATGCTGTCTCTAAGGCCATAAGCTATGTACCCACTCGGACAGTGTCCAAGTCTAGATGTGATCTCTCCTTCCTGACCATGCAAAGCTTGCTTACCATTGTTAAAATCTGCACCCTCTGTCTGATTTTGCACAAGTTAGAGATCCTAATATCAGCAATTAGTATGCTGAAACTAGATATCAATTGTGTACCTTGCATTTTCAGAAAGATATTTTTTAAAAAAGGTAATCTCCAAGAAAACCTTTCAATTCCAAATCAGCTGTTACTGTTAATGTGTAGAATGAGTATTAGACACATTAACACTCAAATAGTTTTGATATAATAGAGTTCCATTCATGTGATGACCAGGAATATTGTGGTTTACAGTTGCAATTGCCAATGATTATGCTTGTAAAGGACTTGACCATCTAGAAGAGAAATTTCCTGTACTTCACAAGGATTCCACAAAAGTGAGTATCAGTCTTTCAATATTATCACAGCTATAAGAAAAATAATAACTGTCATTGGAAGTTTTAAAAATGTTTTCAAGGATTGCATAGTTTTTAGAATCATAGAATTCCTATAGTGTTGAAGTAGGCCATTTGTCTCATTGAGTCCACACTGACCTTCCAAACATAATCCCTACCCCTGCATTTCCCATGACTAACCCACCCCGCCTGCACATTCCTAGATACTATGGGGAATTTAAAATGGACAATCCACCTAACCTGCACAACATTGGACTGTAGGAGGAAACCGGAGCACCCGGAGGAAACCGGCACAGGCACAGGGAGAATGTGCAAACTCCATACAGTTTCCCGAGGGTGGAATTGAACCCAGATCCCTGGCACTGAGGCAGCAGTGCTAACCACTGAGCCATCGTGCTGCCCTTGCCAAACCTGAAAGTGTCCCTCATTTTTGTTTTGTTTAATTAGGTGCAGTGGGTAGTGTCCCTGCTTCCGAGCCAGAAGCTCTGGGTTTGAATCACCCTACAGGACCTGATGGTCAGTGAAGGTGCGTTCATAACATGGTCGAGCAGATTGATTAGCAACCTGTAAATCCTCTCGACAGTGGGTGCTAAGAGCAGGAGTGATGCCTTTGGGATGTAAGGAACGTTGGAGCCCCTACTACCACCATCCATAGTTCCATATTACAACATGATTATAGAAGAGCATATTGCCACAGCAACTTGGACTTTCTAGCTGGAGTATAACACATCAATATGCTTAAAATGCACAACATATGCTGATATGGGTTTGACTTGATACTGAATAAAAGCATGTACACACCAATCAGATGATGGATCCATAACATGACCAAACCCACAGAAAGATTGCGGGGATGGGGGGAGGTGAAGCCTTTTATTAGTTGCATTTAAGAATATAATTTCTTACAGAAGGGAGATTGCAAACAGAGAGAGATCAACAGTATTGATCTTCTGTGGGGAGTTGGAGGTTTTTGACAAGTATAATTTCAAGGAATCACAAATAGCATTAAGGAGGAGTGATAGAATAAACCCTTGCAAGGGTTTATGTATCAGAATAGAAAAAAATGCAAAGTAAGATTAATATCTTGGATATAGCCCATTTCTTTTACTTTCCTATTTAAAACTCGGTTTGGTTGTGTTTTTTTTTTCGGTGTTCTGCTTGTTTCCATTATTTTCCTTTGTTTTATGCAGTGAGTCGGGTAAACAGCAGAAGAACTGCAGAACAGAGCCTTCCAGGTTTCGTTTTTTAAAACTTGCATTTTAAGTCAGTCTAGGGCCAGACTCATTGAAATACTTGCCTCTAATCTAATCATGGCATTAACTTGGATATACAATGTGGCAATATCTGTATTTGATATCATTCCAGATTGCATCTGATCTGAAAGAAATGGCAATTGGGAAAATGAGAAGCATAAAGGATAAAGTCACCAATCCTATCCTTCACATTTCTGATATAGCAATAAGTGTGGTCATCTGCAGATTTGAGAAAATGAAAGTCTTTGTTAACGAAAGTGTGATTTCAGTTCTGAGCAGTGGAATTGGAAGATCAATAACTAACGGGGATGCTGCCTTATCACAATCTCAGCAGCTGGCTGACTTTTATCTGCCAGTTGAAGGTGGAAATGGTAGGAATTGGCTATTTTCAGCTTTTCCACAAAAAAAATCATTTTCTCGTCGCCTTCCTTGCATATGATCTGAAGATTGCATGAATTATTCACTCTTGGAGGAAACTTCAATAGCAATATCTTTTTGCAAAGAATTGGATGAATACTTGAAGAGTTTCTAAAAAAAAACCTTACAGGGTCTATGGGGAAAGTGTAAGGGTGTGTTCTTAATTGGATCACTTTACCAAAGAGCTAACAAAACATGTTGGGCTGAATAGTCTCCTTCTGTACTGATAATTCAATGATTTGTGGGCTTTTGCTGCTGAACCTCAGCGGGAAGGTCCTGGTCAATTTTCTTTTGTCCTTGTCCAGAAATGTGAAGGTCAAAAGTCACATGACACCAGATTATAGTCCAGCAGGTTTATTTGAAATCACAAGCTTTCAGTGTGCTGCCCCTTCGTCAGGAGAAGACTTCAGGTGAATGCCTGTTCTCAGTTGCATTGGCGTTCATAGAATCCCTACAGTGTGGAAACAGGCCATTTGGCCCAACGAGTCCACACCGCCCCTCTAAAGAACATTCCACCCACACCCATTCCCCTAGATTTCCCATGTCTAACCCACCTAACCTGAACATCCCTGGGCATTATGGGCAATTTTTAGCATGGCCAATCCATCTACCCTGCACATCTTTGGACTGTGGGCGGAAACTGGAGCACCCAGAGGAAACCCATGCAGACACAGGGAGAATGTGCAAACTGCACACACAGTCTTTTCTCTTGGTCTGGAAACTGCAGAATTAGAGGAAAGTTGCATTCTAGCCATTGTCCACAGTTTATAATAACACCATGTTATCAAAACAACTTGTAGCTTCATTCTCACTTTCTTTCTCTTAGGAACTTTAGGTGAGGCTATACCTAGTGAGGAAACCATCCGCTCTTCCAAGTTGCCAATCAGGAAATGTATGAAGGTACTTTTTTTTTTGCCTCAACTCTACAACTATACCTGCAAGCATATTGTGATGTTTGTTCAGAATGCACAAAGAAAAAAAAGCTGTTTTTTGAGCCAGAATCTTGCTCCACAGTAAGTGAACCCCAGGCTACCTACCTGTTGAAATGTTACCTGTTGATGTACAAGATGAACTTTGAGGCCTCAAAAGTTCTCCCCGCCCCCCCCCCCACCCAAAAAAAGCCAACTACTTCTCATTTGCTGAGTATAAAAGAGAAGAGTTGACTCTTGAAATGTCACCCAGTGCATAAGTGAGCATGTTTTAAGTTTCTTCACAACAGTGTGCTTGATCCCCTGTCCCCAGTTAGAATTAGACTAAGAACAATTTGTATTTGGGTAAGACATTCCCACTGTTGCATTTCATGGCCCAAATGGGGATTTGACTCGTACACCAAGTATATGCAAATATTTAAATTTTAGGGCCAGAAAACTGGGGTTGCCTTATTGTGTGGATTTCTAAACTGGTATAGATCAGGCTGGTCAAACCTTTCCACATTCGGGGTACACTGTTCAAGTTTTGTTTCTGGTGAGCAAATCTCCGAAACGTGAGGTTTGCTAAAACATTAAATATGAATTTCATAAGTTTGGAGGTTGGGGGAGGCTAAAGTTCCATTATCTGACCACTTAAAAGAATTGAATATTAACTTGGGAAAACTAACAAAAAAGAGTAGAACTGATTGAAGCATTTTTTAAGGAAGCAGGAGGGGAGCAGCATTAATCCCCAAGTCCTAAGCACCAGGTCGGGACTAGTACAGAGCTGACACTAACCTTGACTTACCTCTGAGAACACTCTCTTTAAGCTGGTCTTAATGGCATTCACATGAAACCAGAGTGGTTGGTTGCCTTCGAGCTTCAAATTTCCTCCTCACTCGGCCTGCTGTACATTGGACCCTTTTCAAGGACAGGCAGAGTGGGGTCTGCAGGGAGATAATGAACGAGGAGGTGAGTAAGAGTGAGTGTGTATCTGGCTCCATTCCATTCACTTTTTTTTATAATTCTCCCTCACTCCCACTCCCACCCCCACCTACAGAAGTGTCTGGGATATGTCCAGAACATCATGCAATCCAGCCTTCCATCCATTGACTCCATCTACACTTCTCATTGGTTGCCTTTCCACGGCAATGTCATCAGACCCCTCCCACCAAAGATATAATCTCTTCCATCAGGTGGAAGATACAAAGGCTTCAACATGCACAAACAGGTTCAAGAACAGCTTCTTCCTTGCTGTCATTTAGACTTCTGAATGGACCTCTCAAATTTCAAATCTAATGTTGATCTTGCTTTTTGTGTGCCACCTCTAAAGTCATAACCTTGTATTCCTCACTGTTCAATCATTCAATGATCTTTGTATGATATGATCTGCCTGTACTGCAAGCAAAACAGAACTTTTCACTGTGCACTTGGGTACATGTGACAATAAATCATCTGACACCAGAACCCCAGTCAGTCCCTCATCCACGGATTCACTGTTTAAACTCCGCCAACCCCACGGTCATTCCATCAGTCACTCACTCACTCACAATTCCATGCCCTGCAGTTATTTCCATGCCTGAAAAATTTAGTGATTGATTGATTGATTTATTTATTTTAATTTTTTTTTATATCCCTGAGGAGCTGTACTGGATGGCTGTGAATCGTAGAATCCCTACAGTATGGAAACAGGCCCATCGGCCCAACAAGTCCACACCAACCCTTGGAGCATCCCACCCAGATCCATCCATCTCACCTAAACATCCCTGGACACTCTGGGGCAATTTAGCATGGCGAATCCACCTAGCCTGCACGTCTTTAGACTGTGTGGGAGGAAACCAGACCACCTGGAGGAAACCCACGCAGACACTGGGAGAATGTGTGTGGAGTTTGCACAGTCGCCTGAGTGGAATCAGACCCAGGTTCCTGGCGCTGTGAGGCAGCAGTGCTAACCTCTGAGCCACTGTGTTGCCACAAACCTGTCTCCTGTCATCTAATCTAACACTCCAACTGACCCAGGCCAGGCGCTGTTAGAAACACAAAGAACAGGATTAGGCCAGTCAGCTCTTTTGAGACTGCTGCACCAGCCAATGTGAGCAGATGTAGGCCATTCAGCCTATTGAGTCTGCTGTGCCATTCAATGCGATCGTGGCTGATCTGATAATGCTCAACTCCACTTTCCTGCTTTTTCTCCAAAACTCTAGAATCACGTACTGATTTAAAAAATCTATCTCTGACTTGAACATGTTTATTCACCCAGGCTGACAACAATCATGGTCAAGAATTTCACAGCTCTGAGAAGAAATTCTTCCTTATCCATCTTAAATGTGTGATCACTTTGATATTATATCCTCTGATTCAAGACTTGGTCTCCCCACAAGGGGAAACTATCTTTCCACATCTACCTTGTCCAGTCCTATCAGAATCTTGCTTATTTCAATAAAGTCGCTTCTCATTTTTCTCAGAATCCTGTTCCTTATCTTGGGAAAGAGTATGGTGAATTGATCTTAAAAATAAGCATGTAAATGATAAACTTGTTTTGAAGGAAATATTGTTGTCTTTATGAGCAACAGTTTCTTCTGATTCAAAAATTGGAAAATCTGAAACTATTAACTTCACTTCAAACTCCATTCCCCAGCTAGGGACCCCAGCAGGAAGGGAGCCAGGTTTGTGGATGAGGGGTCAATGGTCACAGTTTCCCTCCAATTGAACCAAAAGATTGAAAGAATTGTGCTCAATTTATTCTTAAAAATAAAAGGAAAAGGCCATGCTTAACATGAGAGAGTTGGGTGGGCTGTTGATAACTGCAGCAAAGAAAACTGGGAAATTGCCAGTATCATTTTAAAGTGCAGGATTTAGCCAACAGATGGGTATTGAGCTGGCTTATGACCAACACTAATGACCTGGAAGGAGAACAAAAGGAAGGTGGAATTGTATAGTTAACTTTTTGATTATAAAGTTAAGAGGTCAGAAAACTAAACTTTTCAATTTGCATAATCTAGTACTGAAACTTGTCTACAGAAAAGTTTGGAAGATTATGGGATTTGATTCCCAAAAGTGCTTTGAATTAAAATAGTAAATGAGAATTTGGGAGTTGGAGGGGCGCCTGAGATTTTCTGAGTTCAGTGGGCATTTTTATTTGCAAAGTTGATGTTACACTCTCAAAAGGTGACTTCAGAGATCTTCAAATGACTTTTTTTTTTAATCCCCCAAGAAAACTAGTATTTGCAGTTGTTTGTGACAACAAGGTGCAGGGCTGGATGAACACAGCAGGCCAAGCAGCATCATAGGAGCAGAAAGGCTGATGTTTCGGGCCTAGACCCTTCATCAGTTGTTCGTTTGCTCGCTGAGCTGATTGTTCCATGGTGTGCAGACTTTTCATTACCTTTCTAGGCAACGTCATCAGTGTGACCTCTAATCGAAGCGTTGGTGTTCTGCTCTGTTCTGAATTTATATGATCCTCTGGTGTTGGTGGGTCTTGTCAGTTCTGGTTCTGCGTGCGCTTTTGTTTTTACAAGCAGTGATCTGTATACGGTGCTTATTTCTATGCATTTGTTAATGGAGTCCCATGTTGAGAACTAGGCCTCTAGAAATTCCCTTGCACGTCTATTGTTCGCTTGTCCTAGTATAGTCACTTGTATTGTGGACTACAATACTAGAACAAGCTGTTAATACTAAACAATAGAGAACCAGAACAAGGAAATGACTCCACCTACAGGAGAAACTAACTGGACTAATCCACTAGGACAACACGAACCAAGCAGACACATGGGTATGGAACCTATCGATCTGAAAAAACTGTCCTGAAATGGAACACAGTCACTATACTGGGACAAGCAAACAACAGACATGCAAGGGAATTTCTGGAGGCCTGGTTCTCAATAGACTCCAGTAACAAACACAGAAATAGACCCCGTATATAGAGTGCTGCTAAAAAAACAGAACTGGAAGATCATAAATTCAGAACACCAACGCTTCGATTTGAGGTCGCGCTGTTGATGTTGCGTAGAATGGTAACGAAACTTTTATGCACGCCATGAAACAAATGCATCCACAACCCGAGCTACCAATTTTTGCCAAGACCTTATTAATTAGTATTAAAATACTGCTTGGCTGCAGCTTATCCTCAGCACAGAGGAATCTACTGTGCCGATGGATGTACCACCAGGCACAAATTGGCAAATGGAATGGAATGAAATGAAATGTTCTGTGGACCCAAAGTAAATGTCTTATCCCTATGTCAGTAATCCAACATTCTCCTCCAGTTCAAATGGTTGTCTTTATAATATTACACTGATTTGACAACCAGGACCTGCCTATAAAAACATTCTCTCTTTCAATACAAAGTTAATTTTTCTTCATGGGCTGTGAGAGTCATTGGCCAGTCATCAGCATTTGTTACCTGTTTCTAAGTCACTCTGGAGCAAGTGACTTGCTGAGCCGTTTCAGAGAGCAGTTAAGAGTTGGTCAGGTTGCTGTGGATCTCCAAATGCCTATTGCTCTTTATCCCTATTCTTATGCTGAAGACACTGTACGTGCTGTTGCATTTCTGAACTCAATCATTGGATACACTTGCTGCTGTGACCTTGTGTGTATGGGGAGCTTCAGGCCTGTTTGGCTCAGTACGCTAGAGAAAAGTCACCAGTTCATCTAACCGGAAATAGCTCTTGGATTGAACAAGAAGTAGTTTATTGCATGCTAACAGCTAGTTACAGGTTGCATCAAAATGATTAGACAGTAAATTTCCCCTCTCTTCTGGAGGTGGCAAGAAGGAAAAATAGTTGTGTGGGTTCGCTGTGAAGAGAATCTCTGCCACTACCTCTGCAACTAAGTGTTCAACAAGGAGGTCTGTGGGGTTTCCTTTTAGGTATTTTCTATTCGACCTGTACAGAGATGTTAGTAAACACCTGGAGCAGGTGGGACTTGAACTCCAGCTTTCTGGTCTAGAGGGAGGGGCAGTATACCAAGTTTTTTTTTCCAATTTTATTTTTTTTGTTGTTTGTTTTACATATATCCAGAAGTTTGTTACATACAACTGGTATTAATTGGGGTTTTTTATTGTTTGTTTGTTTTTTTTTGTTTTGGCCAGCAATTGTGTTTCTTAAGTGCTCAATTAATGACCCCTTGAGGGTGTCCACCTTTCAAACACCTGCTACCCCAGTGGGTGAGAAAGGTAACTAGTTTCCTGATGGGGGGGTACCTAAGGTAATATGCACAGCAAGGATGCCGCCACCTACCCAGCAAGAAGGAAATGCTCACTACTTGATTTATCTGTGGACTGTTGGCCTCAGACCTAGAATCAGCCAGCCTCCTATTTGGTTGGAAGGTTCTGGTGACCCAGGCTGCCAATGTTGTAGTGTGAGATAGGGTGAGCTACTTACCTGTTGGCCCTTCATGAGCTGATTTGGTGCCTGATCTGAAGAATTATCTTACTGGTGGGCCACTTAAAACATACTGTCACAACAGCTTTCCAAAAAAAAAGGATAAATCATGCCCAGTTGCTCAGGACTGAGAAGCTGCATGGATGGTTTTAAGCAGCTCTGCCACATGAGGTCAATATTAACCCCTGCACCCTGATATGACAACCGTGAGATTGAATGCAATGTACTTGAAGTCCATTTTCTTCTCTGCCCTCACAATAGCTATTGACTTACTGCATAACACAAGGAAAGATGCTTCAGAGGTGGTCCTGCAGTTGAATAAGACTAGCTCTTGGGAGATTGTAAAATATTATGAAATGTTTTGGGATGGCAAAATATTGACGAGTTTATGATTGGGGGATTTGTAGTATTGACATTGAGGTGCTACTGCCGGCTTTTGAAGTGTGCTATATCCCAAGTTTGGAAAAGATACAGTTTAGTTTGATACAAAACCATATTGTCCAGACTTTTTCATTACTAGCTTTGGATGAGGCAAGTGGAGAAGGAACTTGGTAGGATTCCCATTCAGGACCCAAGATCATTTTGGATGTTCTTAGTCAGACTAAGTCACAATTAACTCAGCTGAGATGTCTCCCAGCATTATTTTGCATGCAAATAATTGGAAAGAACCTTGGCCTCCAAATGAGGGGATGTTACAGAAGCAGGCAAGCAGTTACGTGACTTTTGTACCAGTTTGCTGGCATTATTCCACTCCAGGCATTTTCCCAAAGATAGGATTGGGGTCTGTATTGACTTTCCACAAATGGTAGCAAACAATGAGGCTGATCTAATTGACTATTTCAATAGCAATTGAAATTTCCTGTAAGCAAGCAGTTGTCCCTGGATTGCCTCTGGGACTAGGCCAGCTGCCTGGAGGTAGGACCTCGGTGTTGAGCAGAGAGGGGTACCAACTTTCCAAGCATACTCTGAGGCCATCTTTGTCTGCCTGGTTAGAGACTTGAGCCCAACTTAACTGGTGAAGGGTTTTCTTTCCACAATGATGAACTGACTATTGAGGCCATTCTTTCTTCAATTTTAATAATTGTAAAAGTTGCAGAAAGAACACCTCAAGATGGAGGCACAGCCTCTTCTTTAACTGGACAGCTGGTATCTACCAGGTGCTGGAGCCCTGGAAATGGTCTTCTGGCTACACCAGCAGAATCTCTGGCAAATTACTGGTCATTTTGGGGGAAAACTGCTGCTAGGTGTCTGTTTGTTTTGAGGGATCATGAGCCTCATTTTGTCCAAACCCAACATCTTGCCATGGACTGGTGCTTCACTTGAGCATGGTACCTAGGAGATGCTGACGAAACTATCTGAGCTGTATCTTTTGCGAAATGTAGGTATTCACCAGCAAGATCAGTACTTGTTGGCCATTCTTAATTGTCCCTGATGAGATGGGTAGAATTAGACATTGAGTGATTTTAAAGTTAATTAAAGTAAAAACTACATCCCTTTTGTTTTTGTTTTGCAGCCTGAGGTTCTTGACTTTTGTAAGAGTTTTCAAAGTTGTTTGGTTACCAACCTGAATGAAATAACAAATCTTTTACAAAAGAAGTTGCAGCAAGTTTTTGCCATCATTCAGAAGTTCAACCAACAGCTTTGGTCCAATAATCTTGCCATCACTCCGGGCTGTTTTATATCCCAAATAAAGGGAAAATTGTGGAATGCATGGAAAGCCCTAATTGTGAAGAAAGAGCATGTCCTAAGCTATCTTGTCAATATCGTGCTGGTAAGTGTCTCTCAAAATCTGGATCTTTTCTGGAGTTTCCTCTGTGTTTTCCATCAGAGAGCACATTCGCTTTGCTTGTCTGCGAACCCTTTTCAGTATCCTTTTAATTAGGTCTAAGCTCTTTTTAATCTTTCAAATTAATCGCAATGTTTTCTTAGAAGCAACCAAATAAGTAAGAATATTTTATATTTATCACACATCCCCATTTGATTTGAGATTTCTGTGGTAGTAGTATTGCAATTGTTGCAACATTTGGTGGGAAGAGGCTCATAAATACCATCACTGACCATTTGGGCTGAATGGCTTATTTCTGAGCTGGGAATTCTATATAGGAATGGAGAAAATGTTGAATCATGCAAGTTACAGATATACGTCAATACCTGAGGTATTCTCTGAACAACTTTTACTACCAGCAGGTTCTAAATATTGGTAGCAAACTCCTGATTTAACAGAAGAGAAACATACTGCAGGAAGAAGTGCATTAGAGGAATTGTTGTACAAAAGCACATGGAAGATTAATCTTTTTTCCAACAGTCTCCAACTCTATCCTGCATTAGAATGCAGAAAATATTCTGCAGAGCTGTTGGTCTTGGGGCTGTTTTTACATCAATGCTATTTTTTATTTAAAATTCCACTTTTAGAAGTTATGTTCCAGCTGTATCAGATAACTGCAAAACCATAAGGCAACTTATTCTAGAAGGAATTATTGCAATAGATATTAAGTGTTCCTTTTTTCTTGTTCACTAGTTGGTTGCAATCAGTTAAAGTCTTTTGGGAAATTGCCAAATCTCCTATGTTCTGCCTCAGTAAGGGAGAATGCGCCAAGGCGTGTCACTCAACTAAGTAACTCTGTAGAAGTTCCCCTTTTCGGAAAGGAATGGATTTGTTTGATCCCATACCATCCTGTTGGTGAAAATTTCATGCCATTTTGACCTTTTCTAGTCATGAGCACGTTGCTTTAATGGAATTCCATAAAATTTGTGGGACCTCTACCCCTGGATGATTAAGGCAATATACTAATCTGTGTTTTGCTTTAGCCTGTAATTGCTAAGAATTATAAACTGACAATGCCGTGGGCAATGTCTAAATCTAACCACTTTGAACAAGCATAGCTGCGGTATTTGTGTTAATACTGCAATAATGCTGTCAATCCAAAATGGTACTTAACTTAATTGTTCCAGTTCAAAATTGATATTCAGGGTGGGTGGGCTGGATATCATCAGGGAATAAGGTAACCTAATAAAAGCTAAGCTTGTGTGAGAAGTGCTTTAATTTTATTATGTGTTGGATGTTATCTCTTGTGTTCAAAGTACAGGATGTGTTTGCTTGTGAGAGATACACTTATGGGCATTCAACACTGCTAACAAAAATTAGAGGCCAGCCATATGAAGAATAGCTTTTATATTAAACTAATAAAGTATTTTTAATTTGTATCATTTCTCCCAAAGTGTTTCTATTTCCTAATATGTTTTGATTCCTGGTTGAGTCATTTTAATGTGTGGATTATTGAATGGTTAAGAATTTTTGTTAGGGTATTGAAAGCTACACAACCAAGGGGATGGACAGAGTCTTAGAGCATGGAAACAGACCCTTCAGTCCAACTTGTCTATGCTGACTAAGGTTCCTAAACCAAACTAGTCCCAAGATGGCAGTTCCACAAGGGTCAGTGTTGGGACCACAACTTTTCACTTTATATGTTAATGCTCTAGATGAAGGAACTGTGAGGGCATACTGGCTAAATTTGCAGACAATACAAAGATAGAGGGACAGGTAGTATTGAGGAGGTGGGGAGGCTGCAGAAGGATTTGGACAGGTTAGGAGAGTGGGCAAAGAAGTGGCAGATGGAATACAACGTGGGCAAGTGTGAGGTCATGCACTTTGGTAGGAAGAATAGAGGTATGGACTATTTTCTAAATGGGGAGAAAATTCAGAAGTGCAAAGAGACTTGAGTTCTAGACCAGGATTCTCTCAAGATAAACTTGCAGGTTGAGTCAGTAGTTAGGAAGGCAAATGCAACTTTGGCATTTATTTTGAGAGGACTTGAATACAAAAGCAGGGATGTACTTCTGAGGCTCATGTCAGGCCACATTTGGAGTATTGTGTGCAGTTTTGGGCCCCATATCTCAGGAAAGATGTACTGGCCCTGGAGCGGATCCAGAAGAGGTTCACGAGAATGGGTCTCTAATCAATGGAATTTAGAAGGATGGTTGGGGAGGGGCAGATCTAATTGAAAGTTTCAGAATACTGAATAGCTTGGACAGAGTGGATGTTGGGATGATGTTTCCATTGGTAGGAGAGACTAGGACCTGAGGGCACAGCTTTAGAGTAAAGGGAAGACTTTTTTTTTTAGAATGGAGATAAGGAGAAACCTCTTTAGCCAGAGAGTGGTGAATCTATGGAATTCACTGCCACAGAAGGCTGTGGAGGCCAGGTCACTGAATATATTTAAGATGGGGATAGATAGGTTCTTGATTGTCAGGGGTTACGGGGAGAAAGCACGAGAATGGGGTTGAGAAACTTATCAGCCATGATAGAATGGCAGAGTAGACACAATGGGCTGAATGGCCTAATTTCTGGTCTTGTGATCTTATTTCCCTGCATTTGGCCCATACCCCTCCTAAACCTTGCCTATTCATGTACCTGCCCAAATGTATTTTAAATGTTATAACTGTACCTTTATCTACCACTTCATCTGGCAGTTCATTTCACATATGAACCTCCCTCTGTGAAAAGGTTGTTCCTTGGGTCCCCTTTAAAATTGTTCTTCTCTCTCCTTTTAAAGTTTTATGTCCTCTGGTTTTGAACTCTCCACCCCTAGGGAAAAGACCTATTGCTATTCACCTTATCTATATTGGGATATAAATTAACCATAATCTAATTGAAGGACTGAATGGCCTACTCTTGTTCCATTAGATTTGAAAAAAAAACTTCCTTTTTGTGAGGGTGAGGATCGGGGAAGCAAAGCTAAGGGGCCAAACTAAATTAGGAGTGCAAAGCTCGCTTGTCAACCTGAACTCCAAATCTGCCTGACTCCTGATGTTAGGATCCCTAAGGATTGTGGGAATTTTGAATTTAGTTTTGAAATGGCCTTCGAGGCAACATCAGATTTTCAAGAGATGAGTGAATTGGTGATGAGCTTGATGTTTCAAAGCCTTGACATTGTTGAAAGGAGGAAAACCAAACTGAGGGAGGAGGCAAGGACCTTGATGGGAAAGCCCTGGAGTTGATTAATACACACAAGACTACTTAGTGACGTGAAGCTTTTCACAGGACTGAAGATGGACTTGCTCTTAATCCCATTGGAATTGGTTTTTTGCCCAACCTCCATCCCCTCTCCACCTCCACCACCCTCGAACTATAGTCTGATTTGTTAAATGACCTCGATAGAAGGACGTGCCCCAGTAAAATGTCAATATTCTCTGTCCTGTGTGGATTGTAATTAAACCAATATGGGGTTATATATGATTTTCCTTTTGGGGTTCTGCTCCTTTGGGTCATGAATGCCATAATTATTTTAAGTCCATATCAGTTTAACATTGAAGCCCTTGGGAAAGGCAGTGAATTGGAGAATATTTAGCTTCTTGGCTTAGTGTTCAGCAAAAGAATGACTGCAGGACATTATTGAAAGTGTGATTTTATTTTTAATAAGACTTCTTTTCTTTTATTCTGTTGTATGTGTTCCTCAACTTTTAAAGGAATGTATATTTAAGGACTCCCATGTGTTCTCTGTATACAATGCTACAAGTGACTGCCAGTTAGGGTTAGATTTGCAAACTGCTCACATGCAGAAACCAGTTGGTTTGCTGTAAAGTCTGCTTCATAACCTACAATGTGTTTTTATTGTTTTTAAATGAACTAACCTACAGAGTAAATCCATCTCTGACAAACAATTGATCATTATCATGAACATTTCTTTGTGAAAGAAATGGTTAAACTCAAGGTTGGGGATGGTGGTTGTGGGGTGGGGGAGTGGCGCAGGGCTGAGAATATTAAATCTCAGACTTTGTTTGATATTCCTCAATCTGTCTCTTAGTCAATTCCACGTGCAAAATTAAACTCAGTCCAGACTTGTTTGCTCAGCTAGCCTTAGCTTGAGGCCAATTTCAATCAAAAATTGTCCAACTTTTTGTTCAATATTTTTAAACCATCTTGTTCGAAATGAAATGGTTTAAATGCACTCTAGTATTTGTTTCATTAAATAAGAAACAGCATGTAACAGTATAACCTGGTCAATGTGCCATCTGCCCTGCTCCCCTTGCATGGGGAAGCAAAGTTATTATCTTGCTTATTTTAACCCACTTAATCCTGTTGAGGCAGACTAGCCTACTTCATTGTTTTGACAACTGTAAATGTTAAAGTAATATCCAAGATTAGCCTGGAATGAATCAATTCCTATAACAAACCATCAGTTCTAACTTGTTCCCCGTCTCTCTAAACATTGCAACATGTTTTTGATGTACTTTAAGTCTACTCTTGATCTGTCTTTTCTGCCACAGCTTCTTCCCCATTGCTTTTTCCCTTACTGAGTGAGCTCTAACCTGTAAATTGGAATAGGGTACCTACAGATGCAAGCCCTTGAACGCAGGTGGGAACATATCACAATGTTGACACTTTTTTAATGGTACCTATTGATCATATTTTCAACTTTCTCTTGTTTTTTTAAAGAGTTGTCTTCTGGTTTGACCAAGTGCCAGTTGAGAACAGGATCTCCTGTTTGGGTAGATATGCTGCCACCAATCGCCTCTTTCAGTACTAGCCTGAGGCTTACTAAAACTAAATTGGTGAATGATGCCAGTATTGAAGTCTTGGCAAAAGGGTCACCTTTTGAATAACAAGGGAGGTTTATTACATAATAGTAAGGTAGCAAGACTAAGTAATGATGTCACACTGCTAGAAGACCACAGTGTATCAAAGATATTAAGCAACCTGAAGTTTCATGGTGATTAACAGTTGAAGGAAAATTACAACAAGTATGAATGAATGGAATTGACTGGCTTCTCCAAAAGACAGTCATTTATATCATTGGCAGAACTATACAAATACATTTATGCTGACTCTTTTCAGCCCAACAACACTGATTAATATTGTCTTTTAAAACCCTAAAATATCTTGTTTTCTTTAGACCACTGGGGGCTAATCTGTAGGGGCAGGTCTATTGAAGTCAGACCAGTGAAAAATGATTTAATAAATTAATTGTCATCTCTTTAGCTACATTGCAAAGAATGAAATTTTTAAAAGCCCAGGTAATTCACAAGGACCCAAGATGTCCGATTTGTAACACTCCTAAATGCTACTTAGTCATAGATCAATCAACATCCAACCTCTCTGTATGGCTGTCTTTTTAGTTTTGGAAGTTGTTTCCCTTTCCAGTTCCTACTTCCTTGGCTGTATAGAACTTGACAACTCATGAAATTTTTCAGGTAAGGATGTACTACTTTGTTTGCAGGCTTTCTGCTTGCTCTTTATAATGATGTAACATAGTGAAGAACAGCGTATTGTGTGAAAGTAAGAGGAATTGATTGAAGAATCATTTGAGTTCAGTTGTTTTTTGTAAGTTTTTTTTAAAACCTCTCCTTTGAGTTGTGCTGGAATGTGTTCAGCTGTCTGTACGTTGCCTTGCTGCTCTTTCTATTAACATGTGTTGGATGGGGAGCAGTGGGGAAGAATGCAGAGTCCTGTTAGGGCAACTGTCGGCTAAATAGTTTCCCATGCTATTCACTGGGTAGTGGTCTGGAGTGGACAGTTATTTCAATCACCCTCCTCTTCCAAGTGAAGTTACTCCCAACCCTCTGCTTTTATGCTGATAGATCTTTAAACCACATTACCTCAATCCTTGATGACCCATAAGAGATCTAGTCAAATTTGACTCATGGTGATCCATAAACTGTTCTGCCACCATTAGCTAATACTATCTTGTCCTAATGATTGAAGAGCAACTCATTTGATCCTTCTTTGTTTCAGATGGAAGTGGTATGAGGGGAGAACAAAACTACACTGAACACTTTGCATAGTGAGATCAAGAGCAAGATTAACTTGATTAGAATTTCTAGCATCCATGCCCATTTCTGATTTTGGTGATCTCCTGACTAGCATTTTATTGTCACCATGTACAGCAAGGGAGAACTTTTCTTATTCCCTTCATCTGTACAAAATAACATGTAGCCTGTGCAAAATAGCCCATAGATTCAGCAAATCTCTGACGTATTTCTTCACCAGAGTCACAGTCTAATCCCAACTTGGCTGCTCAATGCCATTAACTCTGTCATTGTCAATTTCAAAATGTCATAAAATATTAGCATTTTTCTGTTACGGCAAAAGATTAAATATTTTTAAAAATTGACCATAGTGTGGGCATATAGAAGATATGATGGTAATTGAAGAAATGGTATTTAAAGCATGTACTCAAACCTTGTGCAGTCCCATGTATTATGGTCTTTGTATGACGAAAAGAATGCTATGGATCAAGGTTCAGTTTGTAAACATATGGAGACTGGCATTCATTGGGATAATACATGCAAGCACCAACTACATGCCATACAGTGATGGAACACAGTTTTTCTTCTTTGACCTTTTTTGGTTATAGAGTCATAATTTTTATATTTTTTTCTTCATGGTCTACGGGTATTGCTGGCTGGACTAGCATTCATTGCCAATCCCTACTTGCCTTTTTGAGAAAGTAATAGTGAGCTGCAGCCCATTTTGGTGAAGATACACTCGGTTCCACTAGGGAGACTGTGTGTGGGATTTTGACCCAGAGACACTGAAGGTGCAATGATGTATGTCAAGTCAGGTGGTGAGTGGCTTTGAGGGGACCTTGCAGGGAGTGGTCTTTCCATGTATTTGCTGCCCTCTTACTTCTAGATGGAAGTGATTGTGGATTTTGGAAGCTGCTGTCTAATAACCCCTTTTTTTTTTGTGAATTTCTGTAGATTTTGTAGGTGGTATGCAACTGCTACTGACTGTGGTGAATGGACTAAATGTTTGTGGATGTGATGCCAATCAAGTGGGCTTCTTTCTCCAAGATTGCATAAAGCTTCACGAGTGTTGTTGCAACACTCATCCAAGCAAGTGGAGAGTATTCCATCGCATTCCTGACTTGTGCTTTTATAGATGGTGCATAGGCTTTGAGGAGTGAGGATGTGGCTTACTCAAGGCAAGATTCCTAGCCTGGGACCTGCTCTCGAGGCCACTAATTATGTGCCTAGTCTAAGTTTCTGGTCAATGGTTACACCCCCCTCCCCCCGATTTGTTGTTGATAGTGGGGAATTATGATGGTAACACCATTGAATTTCAAGGGGCGGTAGTTAGGCTCTCACTTTTTGGAGATGGTTATTGTTTACCATTTGAATGGTGTGAATATTGCTTGCCACTTGTCAGACTAAAGCTCAAGATGGTCCGTGTCTTGCAGCATTTGGTCATGGACTGTTTCAGTGTCTGAGGAGTCACGCATGGTGCTGAACAACTTGTTCATGAAGTAGTAGAAAATGGTTAGATCAAGCTCCGAGGAACTGATCTAGAGATCACCTCGAGGTGAGATCACTGATATCCAACAAGCACAGTAGTCTTCCTATGTGCTAGGTATGACTCCATCCAGCAGAGAGCTTATCCCCGATTCCCATTGACTCCAGTTTTGCTAAATTGAGGCACAGGAAATCAACTGCCAGATTGACGTTTAATCCCATCAATGCTCCCAGCAGGGACCTCCAAAGGTTATTACTAAAGTTCTGGCCCAACGACTGAAAGTTTGCAAAATTCTGTTGGAAACCTTTTGCGTTTTAAGAATCTGATGCCACCCAATTGTCTGGCCTTGGGCCAGACTCTGGGAAAGTCATTGTAAATGAGAAAACAGAATTTGTTTTGAACATTAAACCTACTTCCCAGTGTTAAATGCAAATTTACAAAATTCTCCCCTTCACTTTGAACAAGTGCTTTCAATTGTCTATCCTTGAATTTAATGCTCATTTTATTTAATACTTCCATGGGATCTGGATGCTGTTGGCAAGGCCAAACCTTGATGCCCATTCCTAATTGCCCTTGAATTGATAGGTAGAAGGCATTTCATAGAGCAGTGAGGAGTCAACCACGTTCTCGTGAGGCCTGGAGTCACATGTAGGCAGACCGGGTAAACAATAGCAGATTTCTTCCTCCTGCCATAGGAATTAGTGAAGGATATATGGTGGGTACATACAAGTTTAATTGAGGCATTTGAGAGGGGCATTGGGTGATTAGTTAGATAGAAATGTTGTGCAGTCATATGGGTGGGGGGAGGCAAGAGATTGGCACTAGGTAATGGACCTCGTGCAGACACGATAGGCAAGTGGCTCCTCTACCTTTTTTGAAGGTAGCAGTGAATAATTTGACATGTAGATTTTATTTTTAAATGTCACACCAGTTCTCCTGACATCTACGATTAACGCTCATGCACTAATTTGTGATCCAATCCCAGCATGATAGAACAGTGTGTCCTTGGCTAAACACCTTAACTGGAATAAACAAAAGGCTGATGCAGGGAGACCATTTACCTTCAACACAGGACTGAAATACCAAGGATATTTGGTTAGAAATGAAGAAAATTGAGTGGTTAAGGAATGCATGTCTTGCCTTTTAGCTAAAGCTAACTTATTAGTCGACTAACCATGTCCTATGAGTAGTTTATGCTCTGCCACTTCTAATAGGCTGCTTAAGGAGCAAGGATTCTGTCACACTTGCAACAAAGTTCCATTGACAGTGTGTGCAGATCCAAGTAAATTTCCTGTCTAAATTTACTCCTGGGCAGAATCGGAATTGCAAGATATTTGAGGGGTGCCAGAGGTGACCGATCTCTGATGTGAATGAATAGTTCAGTTGAAATTTATTAAAACTGACATGCTGATAAACCTTTTCTGAAGGCTTTGTGGTTAATGGCTGAGCAATTGATTCAAGCTTGGAGAAGTAATTATGTAATTGTTAAAACCTTTGCCTTTTGTTTTCTTGATCCTCAGGCAAGCATGATTTGTTTGTTTTGTTTGTCTGTATCTGGAGTGATATCTTGGTTGTTTCTGTTTGTTGCTTGTAGCTCCCTGGAATATCTGCAGAAGAGGATGAGCAGCTGCTTGGAACGGGAGAGAATAGAAATCGAAGCTGGAGATCGCTCGCGGCAAGACCAGTCGAGGAGAAAATAGCGCAAATGTCTGATGTAAAACCCAAACCACAGATCTCCCCAGGAAGAGAGGCTGACCCTGTAGCCAGTGAAAATTCAAGTTCTACAACTGTAATAGAATCAGAGGGTGTAATGCCTGCAGGTTTCAGCTTGGGACAGAACGACCAGGAAGAGACATGCCCAGAGTCTGTGATCTCTAATAAACATTTACAGAAAGACTTTGAGCAACCCGAAGCTCAGGAGCCAGTATTCCAGGAGCAGCAAGTCAGGGAAGACTTAAGGGAGTCGGAGCTGAGCTGTCCTAAACCATCCTAATTTTATAAGATTTTGGAACAGCCAGAGCAGGATAGTGAATTAGACACAGCATTGGTCCAACTTGTCAAGACATTAGCAGTGAGCAATCAAAAAAATAAAAATAATCATTGTGAACAAGCACTCTTCACTAACAAAAACTTCAAACAAATATTTGGCTAGAAAGTTGGTCAAAATCTACAGTTTTTATCTAAACCTATTGTTAGCAATCAGTTTATACTGTTGTCTAAACACCTGACCATTCTGGACTGCTGCTTAACATTGATGAGGTTTCACTGCAACTTAACTGCTTAAGTGACCTCTTGTATTAAATGTAGAACTAAGTGCCAGTTAGTGGGTGGCAGTGCTGTTAGAATGGAATCATCACAGCCTCTTCGAGGGAAGGGAACTGATCTAAACACTTTTTTTTATAATGTGGGAGCAGGTTTGAATAGGATAGGGTTTTCGGCTTCACTTTAAGAAAAAGTTTGAGGGACAGGGAGTAACTTCCGAGAAGCTAACCTCAGGAGATGAAATCGGCTGAGTCAGATCCATGACTTGCATACTGATCCGAAAGGGATTCGGCTTGATGACTTGTCTGTCAACTTTGCCATGGTGACACCTTAAATGTATATGACATTCCTGATCACACTTTGCAGCTCTTCATCCATTAGCATTTGTGGGTTAATGTATGTAACTTCCATTTGTATCTTCAAGTGTGTAAATTTTTTTGAGCTTTTAGAAATAAAACAGAGCTGTGGAAATTGGAAACAAAACACATAATTTGCTGGAGCAACTCAGCAGGTCTGGCAGCGTATGTGGAGAGAGAAACAGTTTAACATTTTGGGTCCAGTGAAAACGGAAGGGTCTCTAGACCTGAAACAACATTAACTAACTGTGCTTTTTCTCCGCAGAGGCTGCTGGAGCAGCTGAGTTTCTCCAGCAAATTCTGTGTTTTTTTTTGTTTCTTTTTGAACTCACTTGCTACACTTTGTTTGTGAAGGTAGTCAACTTCTGGTCTAACAAGAAGTCTTGTAGAGTGAAGGAAATGTAGTTGATTGATTGTGCCTTGGCGACTGTTTACACATCAAAATAGGCTCTACATTTACTGCAAAGACTGTAGCAAGGAACTTGCCCTGGGTCTGTCTCCCAAAAGATCCTATTTACTCTCCTGCCAGGTAAGTCCTCATGATGTTAATCATAATGAGTTCCATAAGCACCAATCAAATCAAGTATTAACTCTTTGCTATATGGATCTGGAAGCATCTGGGCAATCACAGTATTTAGGATCCATTTATCACCCTTTCAGGTAGGGAGTACTAGACCCCTTTCACATTCGCTTTTTTTAAAAAAAATTCACTCCTCAGCTCCATTCTAATTTAAAATTTCTTCCCTTTTTTATTTGGCTGTTCCTTTCCCCTTTATCTAGGCTTGGCAATTCCTAACACCTTCATTTAAAATCCCTCTGTGGTTTCCTGTGCTCTGTAGAAAGCAACCCAGTAGAATGTCCTCATCTGTAAATACAATGAAGGAGCTTGGGGGTGGGGATGGCTTTTGTTGCTGCTCACTATGATGAAATTACCTTTAGTACGCTGAACCGCTTCAATAACATAATGTGCTCAATATTATTTCACCTTGTTGACATTGTGATGTTATTTTGATTATAAAGGAGTGACTGGAATGTACCACAGTGCTATCCTTTTTACTTGTAAACTGCCTGCTTTAGCAACATTATAAGCCCCACAATGATTTCACTTGTAGAAAGTCCTGTTAATGACTGACACAGTGGCTTAATGCAGAGCAAACTTTGTTTTGGAGCCATACGGAACAACAGGATGATGACAACAACAGCAGCAATAACAATTTACACTAACCTGGTGCCTTTACTATAATGAGTTTCCACACCAGTATTCCAAAACATTGTATGATTCCATGTCACAACATGTTATTAGACGAATAAAAATGGAAGTGGTTGATTTTTGAAGTGTTAAAAGATTTTTGAGGAAAGTGGATATGCTCTATCCATACCATTTAACATTAATGAAAAATAATGAACCTAGCCATTCACTCAACATAGTCACTTTATACTGTTTTTGTAAAAGATACTTTGAGAACAAGTAAAGATCATTAGGCCTGAAACACCCATCACTTCTTAATAAATCAAAACTAACCTTACCACCTCCTTTCTCTCTCAATCTTTTTCCTCCAGAAGTGCAGTTTTTTTTTGAGCCCGTTCATACTGTCTGCTTTCATACACTTCCCTGGTAGCTTGTTTTGATCCTGAATCATTATGCATGAAATCACTCCTCCACACTCTCATCCTTCTTTCAGATATAAACTCCTTCAGGACTTGATTCCCTGCATCAGAATTCACAATTGGTCCAGATCAATTTTAATCCCATGTGTGATCTGGAAATTTCAACTTGGGTTGATCTTAAAGTTTTGCCTCAAAAAGAACAAATGTTCCTTGTAAATTGAAATGTGACTGCAGTTACATTATTGAATGAGTGTATCATGCTCTGGGCCTAAATAGCATCACAATAAATGTAGTTTTTGTTTAGAGCTTGATTTTTTCCGAATCCACTGGTTTATTTGTTAAAGAATTTTAAATATTTCAAATGAGTGAGAAGCAGGTGCTTGTGAAGGGGAATGAAGTGCATATGAAAATTGGATTTTTATGTGCATTCTTAGGATCAGTCGCAAGGTTCAGAGACAACAATTAATCATGTTCATGCAGATGTGTAAGATGATTATGGAGTTAGAAAAGGTAATTTTGAAATACATTTAAATTAAGCTGGGAACAGGACCAGGAAAGGCAGCTTCAAATATGTGATGCCATGAAGTTATTTTCCACATATTGATATGTGGAAAATATATCTAGGTAGAGAATTGGTGGGGGGGATGACCTGGAATCACTTGAGCATTGATTTAGATGTGGTAATATTGGAAGGGGAAACCATGGGGTCTTTCTAGAGGGCTGAAGCATGAGCTCGTTGGCCTGCCTCACCAATAAATCTTGCGATCAACATACCCAAGAACAAAGAAAATTACAGCACAGGAACAGGCCCTTCGGCCCTCCAAACCTGCGCTGATCCAGGTCCTCTATCTAAACCTGTCACCTATTTTCCAAGCATCTGTATCCCTCTACTCCCTGCCCATTGGAGTATCTGTCTAGATACATTTTAAATGATGCTATCATGCCTGTCTCTACCTCTTCCACTGGCAACGCATTTCAGGCACCTACCACCCTCTGCGTAAAGAACTTTCCATGCATATCTCCCTTAAACTTTTCCCCTCTCACCTTGAAATCCTGACCCCTAGTAATTGAGTCCCCCACTCTGGGAAAAAGCTTCTTGCTATCCACCCTGTCTATACCTCTCATGATTTTGTAGACCTCAATCAGGTCCCCCCTCAACCTCCATCTTTCTAATGTAAATAATCCTAATCTACTCAACCTCTCTTCATAGCTAGCGCCCTCCATACCAGGCAACATCCTGGTGAACCTCCTCTGCACCCTCTCCAAAGCATCCATATCCTTTTGGTAATGTGGCGACCAGAACTGTATGCAGTATTCCAAATGTGGTCGAACCAAAGTCCTATACAACTGTAACATGACCTGCCAACTCTTGTACTCAATACCCCGTCCGATGAATGAAAGCATGCCGTATGCCTTCTTGACCGCTCTATTGACCTGCGTTGCCACCTTCAGGGTATAATGGACCTGAACACCCAGATCTCTCTGTGCATCAATTTTCCCCAGGGCTTTTCCATTTACCGCATAGTTCGCTCCTGAATTGGATCTTCCAAAATGCATCACCTCACATTTGCCTGGATTGAATACCAAAGACACTCATCCACCAAACAGCAGTTCTTTGTAGGAAGTTTCTGGAGAACAGCCATATTGGACTTGAAATGTTAACTCTGTCTCCCTACAGATGTTGCCAGGCCTGCTGAGTTTCTCCAAAACTTTCTGCTCTTAGTTCCTTTTGAGGAAATGTATAAAGTTCAATTTTAAATCATAGCCTTTGCATTCATTCTAATGGTGTTTTTATTTTTACTGGTTATTTTGCTCTTTTCCCTAATTCCTTTATTTTGTATTCAGACTATAGTTTACCTGCCATTCACAACTTCTGTAGGAACAAATTACTGCAGATGCTAGAATCAGTACTGAAAAGAACAAATGCTGGAGATCTGGAGATCACAGCTGGTCAGATAGCATCCAGCAAGAGAGAGCAAGCTAACGTTTTGAATCTAGATCAATGACTGTCTTTGAACCCGAACCATGAAATATTTGATTTGTTGTCATGTACCAAAGTACAGTGAAAAGCTTTGTTTACGAGCAGTACAGACAGATCATAGTAAGCAAGGATGTACAGATCAAAATGACTTCGATAGAGGTACAGGTTACGTTGTACGGGGTGTTCGCTAGACATGATCACGTTTGCAAGATCAATCATTATTTGAGGCTAGAGAGTCTAATCATCATATTTAATCTCTCCTGCCCCACGCTTTCTCTTTTGTTCTTCTTCTCTCCACCCTCCACCCTACTACATTTCCTCATATTTTCCAGTACTAGGTAAAGAGAATAGATCTGAAAACGTTACCTCTGTCTTGTCCTCAGCTTGTCAGTCCTGCAGAGTATGTCCAGCATTTTGATATTACATTAATCATTTATAAAATGTTAGCATGGTCTCTTTCTTACTATAGTTTGTTATTTTCTGCATAAATCCAAGTAATACACATGCTCTTTTTTCATAACCCTATCACCTTGGCTTGCAGCCTATGAAGATTTGGACACATGAACTGCAGTCTCATTCTCCTTATCTAGACTTTGCAAAATCTTATCATTTATAGCGCACTGTCTTTCCAAAGCGTATTACAGTGCTGCACTCCAGCTTAAATTCCATACTGTAGCCCATAACTATCCCCATCACTAGCAATCACTATGCCAAGTTTCATATCATCTGCGAGTTTTATAATGCTGCTGTCTACGTTCAAGTCCAGGTCATTGAACAGACTTGACAGAGTGATGAAGCTAAAATTAAAACATTCGGATTTTGGATATCTTGGAACAACAGAACTATTGTGCAACAACAATCATTCACCATAAAAGTCATGTATGGGCAGAGAAACTTTCAAATTGCATCAAAATGAAGAATCTGGAAGAACCCCAAGCAGTCAGTGCAGCAAGTTTCAAGGTACGGCCATTGTGCTATGCTGGTGGCGAGGTTACAGTTCATCAAGTCTCGGGCTGGAGAAGCCTACACTCGGGTAGATTAAAACATTGTCTGTCGGGATAGGAGCAGAATGCATGACGAGTGACCTTTGGACTGAAATAGATGGACCTCTTGACAACTGAACATATGGGATGAGCCAATGGATTATCTCATCCAGCATCTCAATATGCTGCATGGAGATTAAACCAAGTGAAAATAGGGCAGTCTTGCAGAAAATCAACCAATAAGATTTGGGATACTCTCTCATGGCATAGTCTGGAGAGAAATCAAATATATAAGAGAAAAATCTAGCATCTGAGTAGTCTCTTCCCCTCCTGGGCATTGATGAGAATAGGCTATGATGACCAATCAGCCACTGATAATCAAGATTTTAAACTGGATTAAGCGCAGTTCCCTGGGAGTGATATGCCAGAACTGCTGACATTGTGGGGCCATTGCCCATCAGTTCCTTCATTTAGCTCTACCTATCCTCATCAATCTTAATCATACTCACCAGTGAAAGTGGGAGCAAAGGAATTAAAGTCAATTTGAAAGTGAAAAATAGGACGGCCAACAAAATTACAAGCAGAGTATGTAAATCTTGTGATTGAGGAGTACAATACAATAGTGCAGCAAAGCCAATTGCAAAGTCCCAATGAAAATATCCTGCAACATTCCTTACATACATGTCTACACAGAGGACAATTTCAGATGATGGTCTTTATCCCAGTTATTTTCCTGACCAGAATTCTGGATTCCTTGATTCTTTCCACTGGACTGTGGATGACCAGCAGGATGCCGTGATAGTTTTCTGCAGCTGAGATTTTGCAAAACTGGCACTCTGTTGCCAGGGAAAGGAGTCTACCCTCCTCACTGGAAACCATCCTATGGGTGAAAGAGGTCGCTTTTGTTCCTTAACCTGGCATTGACACTGCCCCAATGTTTCATTGACTTGATCACTTGGATCTGCTGTTGAACTACATTGAAACTGACTTGGTCACAGATGCTACAAACCAATACAAAGCAGTCTGCCCACTGGATCTGTTTCTCCTTCACAAAGTTTTGATTCAAATCCTTCAATGTGAACAGAGAATTGAGTTAATACAAACTCTTCACACTTTCCTATATAGACCAATACTTCTCTGAACTCCCTCCACCCCAATGTAGTAGCCACTCCTTAGGCGACAGTTCCTGGGTGCTGAAAATCCCTCTCCCAATCCCGAGTGACCCTTCTTCACATGTAAGCCTAGGCAGTATGTCTCAACAGTTATTCAATGATGGGAGCATCATAGATGTGCTCTTTTCTGCCTTTGGCCAATGCTCACTGTTGCATTTTCAACCTAGGACCATTTGCATTGCCCAATAGCACAAGCTGAAAAGGAAATAAAACAAAGAACTGCTGATGCTGGAGATCTGCAACAAACAAAAACAGAAATTGCTGGAGAAACTCAGCAGATCTGGCAGCATCTGTGAAGAGAAACCAAAAAGGAAATCTGACTTATATTGGCTTGCATTTTGTCATCTGTGGTGAACAAGTGACATTATACTTTCAGCTGCCCACAGAATTTCAGGGACTTTTGATCAGTGACATGCAGTGATTGACCATCTGAAACAGTGCAGCTCCCTCCAGAGAGAATCTGGACCCATGTGAATCAGGGAAACAACTGTTTCTTCTTTGATCAACTTGAAGAATATTCAATGGACCATCTAGTAGTTGAAACCAGGAATTGTAAGGCATAGCATTTGTTTTATTGCAAAATCATGTGCAGGAAGTAAAGACAGGGAAGAAAGTTAGAGAAACAAGATGAGAGACATGGTGAGAAAAAGTCAAGAACAAAATTTCTAACTCTTAAAAGTATGTCCAACAATAATTAAAGTTTGAAGGAAGGACACTGTGGACTTGTAGAAGTAAATCAGGAACAAAAACAAAGTTGCTGGAAAAACCCAGCAGGTCTGGCAGCATCTGTGAAGGAAAAAAACAGCAACTTTGTTTTTGTTCCTGATTTACAGCATCCGCAGTTCTTTTGGTTTTTTTTATTGTAGAAGTAAATGTTTGTCAAAAAGTAGGTAAAACTGGATGGCAATTTTCAGATTCCTTGCATTTTACTGTACATGTAATGTGAACATGTAAGATGCCAGAAATTGCTGTCCAATTATGGGGAGGCGTTGGCTCGGTGGTATTATCACTAGGTGATTAATGCAGAGACCCAGGTAATGTTCTGGGGACTTCCCTTCAAATCCTGCCATGGCAGATGGTGGAAGTTTGATTTAATAAAAATCTGGAATTAAGGGTCTAATGGTGACCATGGAATGATTGCCAATTGTCGGGAAAACCGATCTGGTTCACTGATG